CGGTATACTAATAGATAAAGGGATCGTTAACTTTGTAATTATTCTTTTTTTATAATATATTAATATTAAGAATAGCTTTAATTAGTAATAGTAGTAGTAGTAGCGACGGTAAGGTTAACGAAGTAGTAGTTATAAGTAAGTAAGTAAGTAGGTAAGTAAGTAGGTAAGTAGGTAGGTAAGTAGGTAGGTAGGTAAGTAGGTGGGTATGGGCAGCTGGGCTCCGTGGTCGGAGGCAGGAGCGGTCGCAGCCACACTTAGGGGCGGGATATCAGCAGGTGCTGGCAGAATATCATCGCCCTTTTTTTTCTTCTTCTCCCTTTCTCTCTCTTGCTGTTCGCCTTGTGCAAGTTTACCCCTACGCTGCTAGAATAGAAACAGCTGTTCTCGCTCGGGCTGTGCTGTTCCGAACGGGTGGATTCCGGGCTCGAAAATGGTTCATGTTGGTCTCAATGGTTCGGTCTGGCCGTTGAATGCGCCCCCAGTCCTCACCCCCAGTCCTCCCCAGATACTCAGCAGTGGCAGATTTTGACTATTGTGGGCTCTCTTGGTTGCTAGTGTAGAATACCGAATGCAAATGGTCTCGATCTCGTAAACTGAGAAGTGAGTGCGGCGCCTTCCGCCGCCTATCGGCCTCCGAAAAGTTTCCAGGCCGGCCGCCCCGGGATCGCCGGAAATTGCACATCACGCAATCTCCATTTTCCACTCTCCGGACTCTACCGACTCTCCGCTCCGGTGCGAGTTTGTCGTTTTCCGCCGTCTCCGCCGGTCAACTTCCGCTTTTGGTCCAATCCGTAGGTAGGTAGGTAAGGCAGAAAAGGAAAAGAAGGGCCGCTCTCATCTCGGTTTCGCTCATGAATGTGGTGACGATTTTTCTGCTCAATCTGCCTTACCACTTTGGCCTCGAGAGGTTCGAGCCGTGTAACTTGTTGCTAGATACGGGCATATATAAGGCTAGGCGCCGTGCTCACGTATCGCTCATCGGCATGAAATCTTGATGAATCGCGGTCCTCCTGAGAATCTCGCGGATTTTCTGAGGTCTTCACAAACACGGGTGGCAGAAAGCTTCAAGCCTTCCGGTCCGTGACGACTTCCGTACTATTATACTCGAACTCATAGGAAGCCCGACGATGCCCATATCAAAACGTGAGAGCACTGTAACATGGGCTCGAGAGAAGTCTACATACTCCCCGATGAAATCTTCACAGTCCCTGGATCTATACCAAGGCATGAAGCTGGTAGAGAAGAAGAAGTCTTTCAAATCGAGATTCTTGCCGTATCTCCCATTCAACTAAACCTCACCCTCTCTCCGATTTCGTCATATCAGCATCTGCATCAAGCACTTTTACCTAGCCCACGGCAAGAATGACCATGTATCGGACACAGTAGCTCAACCTGCCAAGCAGAAGAAAAACACTTGAGCAATAGTTTAAATATAATGGACCCAAGTGAGCATCACATCGCCCCCCAACTCAAACCTGAGGCTAGCCAATTCCAAAATTATTGAAAGGCACCAGAGAAGTGAATAGGCAAAAAAGCAGCTGAGGAGAGCCATCACAGCGAGAGAGTTACGGGTTGCCCAAGGTGTAGATCTGCTCTCACGGGTTCCAAACGTCGAATTTGTTGACTGCACGGCCTGCCCGTAAGGCAATGCAGGGTTCTCTCAGCCAAATTTCGAGCTCAACAGGGCCGGTGAAGAATTCAAATTTGATATCATTGCGAGTCACATGTCATGAGAGCCATGATATCACGCTCACGGCAAGTCTACATGTGCTATTTGGCACTTGCTCACCCCGAGCCTGGGAGACAACCTCTCTCAAAAGATATATAGTACTGTATGTTTAGCCGCCATGGTTGGCAAAGCCCCTTGAGGCATAAGATGCTCTGCTCTCGATTGGATGTATACATTTCCATAAAGATAACTATCAAGATGTCTGAATGTCAAGGCTGGTGACAGACGTGGAACAAAGTGGTATTATTCACCATCTTGTTTGTCCCAGTCGAGCTCGTCACCTTTCTCGACGTGCGACATTACGTCTGAGGAAACGCCTTGAGATTTGGCGACGAGCCTTTGAAAAAGCTTCGTCAGTATCTCACGATGACCGGCGACAGCTTGTGTGGGAACTGGGCAAATGATACGAAACCTTCTAGACCCAATATCCACCCGGACTCCTTCTGGGCTTGCGTTCGTCTGTCGTCTTGGGAAAGTATCACAGCTGGGAAAGAGCAAGGTTCTCAAGGTCGTGGGCAAAACATTGCCTTTCCATGCACGTCATGAAGCAGTTGGAAGCGACGAGAACGGGCGAGGACATCGTCTTATATATGACTTGAGGTGAGGTAAATCAACGGACCTAGTTGATGAGAGAACACCCGTCACAACGGGCCCAGATTCGAGGTATCTTTCAAGATCATGAGCATTGCCACGGCCGGATCATGGAGCGAAGGTACAAACAGTTGCCATTCAAGGCTGCAAACGCTCTTTCAGACAAGTGCGCCAGGCGTCTCTGTGAATTGAGGATATGTAGCGGGATAGGCTAGCTATGCGCAAGGGGCAATATTAGAGCTGGATAATTAAATCCCAAGATTCGGCCGTGAGTGAGCCTCAACGATGTCATGTTCCGTTCTTTCTTAGTCAGTAGGTACATCAGCGAGAGCCTTGTCTTCGTCTTCCTGACGTCACGCTGCGACGCTTCAGCAGTAGTGTTCAATACGAATCGTATCCCAACTTTCGTTATCTTTCTATCGTCATCGCTAACCACCGTCTGCGGACAATCATCCAACATAAACGGTGATCGCAATTACCTTAATCCGTAGCTATCAGCGGTCCTCAACTACGAGTGAATCATCTCTCGTCATACGATTGGGGATGATCACCTTGACAGACCCACGCCAGAGAGACTAGCTTGCATAGCGACAAAATTTCCGTGTAATATTACTTTTGAGTTTCGCACGCGCCAAGAAGTCGCCATGTATCAGCTGTCAGAAACCTTGATAAATGATGCCAATTGCTGTTCCTCTTAAGCAAAGATTAATGAAGGGAGAAGAACAAAGTCAGTCTCTAGATGTCTTGACGACGGTCTGTTTGTGCTAAACGCAACTGGAGATCCAGGACCCGTTTGGGCATGCACAACATTTAGTGCGTATCACGGGCAAGGGGATCGAGAATGCGACTCAAGCTCAGAGATTGAGTTTTCTAGAAGATTATAGTCAAGCACGCAAGCTAGTTAGCCTGACGATTCGACATGATCGACACTTCGTTGGAATGCTCGCCGAGGCTGGAGATGAGATTCGGGGACCGGCATGTGGATGCCACCAATTCGGAATCCGGAAGAGATGTACATCACTCATACCTGTTAGTGTGACATTTGAAGCCCCTTTAATAACCTGTACAGCAGCAAACAAAACCAATTTGCCGGGCTTCGTTGGCGAGGCGAGGAATGGGAAAGCCTGTCATTGCGGTTTATTGCAAGCCAATGGCCATTGTTCAAAGGGAGCAAATGTTGTTGGGATCTGTGTGTTGCGTTGCGAATAGATAATGTGCTACCCACCGTGATATCGAGATGAAGATCCCGAGCCTTGTAAAGGCATCTCCACACCGGAGGCTAGTCGGCGCCGTGGGGCCGGACGGTTTGACTTTGACAGTTGGGCACGGGAGCTAGCGAGCTGCCAATTAGAGGCTCCCTCAGAATTGAAGGGTTGTTGAATTCAAAGTCAAACTCCATCATCGCACTGGCGCTTATATGGTTTGCCCTCGGAAGAACGCAAATCGCTTATGGCGGCTTTTGTCGGAGATGACGTGCCGGTCAGATAGGGACGACCGAAAATGAGGTCAAAATTGGAGAACGTATCGCCCGTAATGCAGGCCGAAAATCTTTCTTCGCCGTGGGAAATAATGGCCTACCTGCGTGACTGGCGGCGCATTGTTTCGTTTCGTCCCAAAGTTCCACGTGCGGATGAGGAGTCGAGGACGGCTATTCAAATTCTGCTGAGATACGGGCAGTGGAAGCAGTCATTGAGTTTTTCTCTTCTGCTGTTGTGAAGCAGAACGTATCTAGAAATGGCTGCCTCGGTAGCAGATGGGAGGAGGCATAGACCCTGAGCTCAAGCCGCGCGGGAGGTAGGCGTATGGACAATGCCGTCGTGTGCCTGAAGTTTCTCTCATGCGGCCTTGCCGTCGCACACTTCCGTGTTCAGCGTGCCTGAATCCTATGCCGAAGCGCTCGTCTGGAGTCAAAGAGGCAACAGTGCTTTGCCGATACCCTCAGTGCATGCTCGCAAGAGACCCATAGGTGTTGACAAACCGACAAGATTGAGCCGAATGCACCAAAGATAGGCGTGCCAATGACTGCCCTTCTCTTGCAAGCGGCGTCGTTCCTTGTCAGAGGATCGAAAAGGGTCTATGACTCTAGGGCATGCAATAGGGCATTCTCTTGCTGGTATCTGTATCCATACTTCGTACTTACCTGGGCCAATTGAGGCCATTGTGAGGGATAAAGAGATCTGACCCTGAGCCCTGTTCCATGTCCGCAGCGTGGATGCGACAGCTGAAACGCGTCTAGAACTCGACGTTGGACCTGCAGTCTGCACTGCTGTAGTCTGTAAAAGGAAAAAAATGCATCTGCGGGCGGGGGGAACCAACTCGGAAGGAGACGCCGCGCCGCGTGCCAACCTGGCGTGGTTCTCTGTGCCTTTCTTGTCGCTGCACCACTGGTTGGACGAGTCGATCCGGGACTCAGGGTTATCTCGATGTGTGCCGTGGGATTTGCGACAGGAGGCGACCGATGTGTTTGTTCAACCCCTTGGTCTGGAGTTCTGCGCATGCAGTGGCAGCGGTCCGATGGCCATCAGGTAGGCCAAGACCAAGCAGGTCGCAGAATGGCGTTTTCGGTACAGAGATGCCGGAGCAAAAATCAGCACGCGGTCGACAGTTCGCGTAGAGGGTGCTCCTGCAGGCGGAATAATTGCAGGAACTCTGAAGCTGCACACCGCAGGCAGACCCCCGCTCAGTTGCCTTTAAGGTAATGCTGATCAGCGTTCTCGTGCCGGGAACCTGGGGTCCCAAGGTGCAGGGCGACAGCACAGGGCAAAGGTAATTGAATATCCATTCTTCCGCTGGTTGCGCGGGCGTATCAATGGCAAGCGTTTTTGTGTCGTGGTCCTTTTCAAAAGACACTTAGGTCACAGGGTTGGAACGTGAGTCGTTATTCTGATAATCGGCAGCACAGGAATGGTATTCTGGTTACGCAAGTCGAGAATCATTTCAACGGAGAGTCGCCGATAGGCCCATCCTTCAAGGACCGCAGTCAGGCCATATGCCATGTTCGGAGTATTTTCCTCTCATTTTGTTCTGTGACAGACATCAGCTTAAGGAACGTGACGTTTCAATTCGTCCCGTCTCCCTGAATGGGGTGGCGGTAGTAGGTAGTAGGAGGCGGTGGTCGCCCGCGTTGATGAAGCTGGCGTTGAGATGGTCCCTTGAATGCTGTTGAAGACGAGCCGGACGAAGGTAGGCATTGGCAGAATATCTAGACACGGAGCGCGATTATTCGACAATGGCAACTTGAAAGTGGAAGCGGTGGGTGTCTGTAGCGTACGTTTTGGGAATAGTTCCCCGGAGTTGAGCATCAAGGAGCCAGCAACCGAGGTGCAAGTGGCTTGTTCCGGTTGCAGGTCGGTTCGACTTTGCTTTTTTGGAAGAATGCACACCAACGGCAACTCTGACAGGTGCAGAAAAAACGACGAACGAGACCGAACATGCCGCAGTTTGCAGGAACACTGGAGGAAGAGGTTGAGTTGGGGGCTGCGCCGTGACGGACGGTTCGAACGATATTGTTGCGATGCCGAGTCGGGCGATAAACTTGTCCAATCGGTCATTGTGTTCGACGAAAAAGTCTTTCCCAAGGCACTGGAACTTTGTACACAAACTTACGATAGCCATAGAAGACCACTTGAGGTTTTCTAGATCCTGGAGACTGAGGGACTGAGGAGGTACGAATTGGCTGGGTTGAGGTTTCCCCCAGATCGGGCCATCTGGACCGCTCTTGCAGGGATTGAAAGGGTCTTGAGGTGCGTGCCTGCGCTAGTGTTTCTGGTTAAGCCTGATACGCTCATCATTGGCCCACACCAGACCAGATTAACCCACATGTAAACTGCAGAGAGCAGGGGTTGGCCGGAGAGTGACCCCTCCAGCCGGGGCAGACCAGGGAAGGCACGCAGCAAAGCCAGCAGAGAGGGGAGGAGAAGGAAAGAGTCGAAGCAGGAGCGTTGGACTAACACCTGCCTTGCCTGCGTTTGAGACGGCAAAGTGTGAAGCGAGCAACTTGCAAGAACGGTCCGGTGCAAGTCAAGACTTCGCCAATAGTCCTTCCTCCTCCTTTCTCTCAGTCTCTCTCCCCTGCCACCCCTGTCATCTGCAGCCAGGATGGCAGCGGCGACCAGGAAGGACCAGGAACGGTCGTGTTAGCGTCAGCCACAGCTCCCAAGATGAGCCGTGCCTCGTTGAATCCTTTACCCATCTGCCACTTTGGGATCTCGTTGTCCCCAAAAATGAACCCAGTCTGGAGCCAGGGGCAGCCCTTGGAGACATGCCATCAACCTTTGCAGCAACGGGCGACTTGGCTTCACAGCCTTTGCTTGACTATCGACGCCTCACTCGTGTCTTTTCCTGCTTGACTTACCCTACTTACCACACTCGTATTAGCACTTCCGACCAAGGCACGTGCAAAGCAAAAGGTAATCAACACAAGCCGCAAGGGGGAACGATAGCACCGGACGTTGGTACTGACTGAGACGAGACCTTTTCAACGGCCTCTTGACTCTCGACCAACTTGGGCAAAGCTGGGCATGTTGGCGTCACTCTACAACGGCCACACCCCTACCCGTCATTTCCCTGCACAATACTCCGTTTTTTGCCTCCATCCTTCAGATATCTTTGGATACTTCGTTTGCGCAATCCCGTCCCAGTGCCCCACGTGTGTGCTTGTGCTTGCTGCACCTGCAAGGTACGTGACCATGTTACGGTGAGATATCCATTTCAAGGTACTTTACATGCTTACTGCGCTTCTTTACATAGCATACTCGTACCGATAAAGACGGATAGCAACACCACTACGCTCGCTTTCGGCGCATTATCCGGACTTGAGCTGGACCTGCAGAGGGGAAGAGGCAGAAAAAAAAGAGGACGAAATTTGCAGTGAAGGTATGTACGCAGTACGAGCAGCAACAACAAGGGGGGAAAGGGTCATAGGCTCGCAAAATACCGACTATCACCCCTGGTCTTTCTCTCTCTCTCTCTCTCTCTCTCCAAAAGTCAAGTTCCGTGCCGGTGGATGGTGGAGTCTTTTCTCTTGCACCGATTCTGCTGAATGGGCTGTCTCTCAGGCCAGACCATCCCCAGTCCACGTCCCAAAATCCCACCCCCGTCCGTCTCTAGACTCTAGATTGGGATTCAGACCCAGCCCAGCCCGGCCCTCTTCTGGCAGTCTGCTTCCACTCGTTTTTGATCTCTGGGGATCCCTCCTCACTTCCTCTCTAATCCCTCCTGTCCCGCCTCGACCGACTCCTCTCTCTCTCTCTTTTCTTCTTGACTTCCACCTCGGGACCACCTCCATCAACCTTTCCGTGTGGTTGTGACCTGTTGCCGCAGACCAGTCGAGTCAACCCTACCGATACTGGTTCTTGTAAGTCGTCGCTTGTAGCTGTCACATACGGGTTGTCCAGCCAGGCACGCGGCCCGTCCGTTCTACTGTCCCTCGACAGATCAGATCCCGTCACGATACGTACATCTGTGTGTCCGCCGACCAACCAATTCAATACACACAGACACAGACCCAGTTCACACACACACACACGCATACTGCGTACGCACACCTTTCACTTCTCGACCTTCTTTTCTTCTTCCAATCTCGTCGACTTGATCGGCCGCCATTGGTCTTTTCTTCCTTTTTGCCGCCGCCAACCGGACATAAGTTTTTGTCTTGAAGACTAACTGCCGCAACCCGTCCGAGAACCTCAACAAGGCCTGCGTCATTAACCTCTCTGACCCTCATTGCTCTCTCGCGACTCTCCGTCTTTCTCTCACCGGACCGTCGCCACGGGATTCCTCACTCCGCCTTGGAGCAAACACATATCATCGACGCTCCGTTACCCCACGCGACCTCGCCTGTCAGTTCGCACATCATATCACCATTGAATCCACCACGGACCTGCTTCTTCGCCTGATTGTCTCTTGATCTCCAAATCTTCAGACGTCAGTCACTAGGTCCCCCCCGGAGACAACCTGCCTCCCCGACGCCGGACACACCCTGTCCGTTCCGCCCGTCTGAAACACTCTCAGTCCTTTCTACAGCACCGCAAGACCCATCGTGTGTCGTGCACTCACCCGCGCTCGTCTCACCCACTCGATTTCTCTTCACCCATCCGCCGTCAGAGTTGCACTCTGCTGCTGCTGTTGCGCCGACGACTGCGTTGGCCCGTCTGTTTGTCGAAGCATTTGCTGCTAAGACGCGCTCTTGCCATTGCTCCGACGTCGATGCCATCACCTTGTAGTCATTCTCATCACCGCAGTCGCTCACTTACTCAATCACTCAACCAACAAACCCGTCTGCTATCCAAGGCCGTCACAACTGCATCCCATCTCTCTTCATCTCTCTATCAAAAGCAATCACAAATCTTGCCTGCTGGGCGAATCACGTCCGACAAAGGCCAAGTCTCGAAACACCAAATGTACGTGATCCTCTTTGGGACTCCCCCTACCCGTGGCCCGGCTGTTCAGGTGTTCCTTGCTTGGAGAGGGTGCGGCCGACTTGAGGCAACCCTCCCGAACCACCGGGAATTCTCTGTACCTGTTACTGGGGGGCCAGTTTGCCTTGAGTGGCCGTGCTGCTTCTACTCTCTCTCTCTCTCTCTTCCGCTTCGCCTCTCTTCCTTCCAAATCCCCTCACACTTATCCGGTGCTGACCTGGACTTTTGTACCATAGATTGTCCAACGCGTCTTTTCATTCCCTGCCATCCTAATTAATCCATTTAGCAATCTGCTATCCTGCTACCTCAGTGTACGCACTTCATTCCTTCGCCGCCTTTTCGTTCCGTTCTTTTCCTTGGCCAACTCGCCACCCTACTGCACTTCAGCGTCGCTCTAGACTTCGATTCTTCCTAATAGGCCTGGGTCCTGTTTTTCAACCTCACACAGTTACACCGCCTCGCATAAGAGCTGAGCGGCCATTCATTTGATCTAACTCTCAGCCGCTCTTTTCTATCCGCGAATCTGCGTCGTCTGCTGCAAGTCGCATTGCCACCGCGAGCCTATACGAGCGTCCCCTCGGACAATTTCAGCTACGCCACCGCATCACTTAACCATTGGCGACCCGCAGGAACCACGGTTATAGAAGCTACACCTGGGTGATACCGCAGAGCGAATGGTCTAATTGTCGTGCCTGGACGTACAGGCATCTTGGAAAGGAAAAAAACAAACAGGAAGTCAGGAGGAAAACGAAACTCTGATGTCGCTGGATCGAATTCACGAGTACTAAATGAGTCAACCCCAATATGGAAGAGATATGGATCGACCGCCAGTTGCAGGATCCGTCAAGCGGGCGAGAGAGCGGGCTCAAGCCGGATTCCCGAGGGAACAGTATTCTCCGCCGAGCGCCACGAGGTTCCCGATAATGGAAGAAGATCCAGACAGCCCCACGGATGTCTCAGACCGGCGTCAAATCGTCGAGCCGACACAATCACGGATACCGAGACTTCAACTACCGAATGGCTTGCAAAATAAAGATGGCAGCCCCGGGCTTGCCATCTCCCGACCGACACAAATTCCACAGTGGCCGCTGCCAGGACCGATTCCGTCGCCCGTGAACAACTCCGATGCGGAACCCTATCGACCTCCTCCGGGCCGTGGACCACCGCCGCAACGACCTCCGCGCCCAAGTAGAGTACCCTCAATATTGGACAGTTCCCGGGTCCAGGATCACACTCCCGTTTTTCAATATACCCCACAAAGCGGACGAGAATCAACGCTGAGCCAAGATGTCTCATCCGCACCGCTTACCCCGTCATCAAGACACACGCAATCATCACTTTCTTCAGTCGGATCGATTCCAGA